TGGCACTGTCTAGTGTCCCTGAATCCACTCATGTGCTTTTATAATCTGTTTGCTACTCAGCAGTCAGATCATGTTATGAACCTGCTGGAAACTATTCTTATCACAGGGACCCAAAGGTTTTCTATAGCTTGGTTAGCTGCTTCTCTCTTCCCATCTGTTTCTACTTTCCTTCTCCCTCACTGTCTGCAGCCACACTGGCCTGCCTGATGTGCCTCAAACAGGTGCAAATCCTTCCTACCTACCTCAAGGTCTTGTGCTTATTGCTTCTTCTACCTGAAACCTCTAGAGACTTCAACAGTTTCCTCCCGGCCGGGCGCGGTGGCTCAAGCCTGTAATCCCAGCACTTTGGGAGGCCGAGACGGGTGGATCACGAGGTCAGGAGATCGAGACCATCCTGGCTAACACGGTGAAACCCCGTCTCTACTAAAAAAATACAAAAAAATAGCCGGGCGAGGTGGCGGCGCCTGTAATCCCAGCTACTCGGGAGGCTGAGGCAGGAGAATGGCGGGAACCCGGGAGGCGGAGCTTGCAGTGAGCTGAGATCCGGCCACTGCACTCCAGCCTGGGCGACAGAGCGAGACTCCGTCTCAGAAAAAAAAAAAAAAAAAAAAAAAAAAAACCGTTTCCTCCCTCCCTTCAGTCATTCTGCATGAATACCCTGGACCCAGTATGTCCTTTTCCCAAATACATTTTTATAAAATGGCACTCCAACATTCTTTATTACTTGCCCCGCTTTACTTATTTTCTCAAAACACTTCCAACTATCTTTCATTATAGATCTCTATTCATTTGAATATTGTGTGTCTTTAATAGAATGTAAGCTCCTTGAGGGCAGAAGTTTATGCAAGAAAGCAGCTGAGCATAGGTTGGTGCCAGCACAAAGTAGGTGCTTAGTAAGTAGTTTCTAGTGAATTGAGAGTGAATATTAAGGGCAGAGATGGTGGGGTAGCTAGATCCTTCCAAAAGGCTGAATTGTTTGTAAAGATGAGCTAATTTTAGAGATAAGCGTTTCAAAAGTAACCACTGATAAAATTACTCACAGAAATTGCTGATTCATATATGGAAATACTTTTAAAATCTGTCAAAGTGATATGCTACAATCATTGAACAGTCTGCAATTCAAGTGGAATGTGCTGTAATGGGACTTTTGACATCCATTCTCTATAGAGGCAGCTGTAAATACATTTAAAACCGAACTCAAACACTCACATTGTTTATCACTGCATTACAGGCCTGGGACTTCCCAAGAATAAACAAATTGCTAACTATTTATACAGACATTCTTTTTTTCCACTGCAGACGATCTGAGATGGACTTAAGTGTTACATTTCTTAACTGATGTTTTGCAATGTTTTTCTCATTAACTCCCTCTCATGCTTTTCTCTTCTCATCTCTCCTGAAACTCTTGTCAGAACAACATGCTGCATTGTGCAACAAAAGTTTACTTTCATCTCCAAACATGTTAAAGGATACATTAGATTAAAGGAAAGAATGTTAAGACTAATGGAGAAGTCATTAAAATGAAGAGATGTTGCATTAAAAACAAAAAGAGTCCTCTTTTGGATCCCGAAGGCATTCACTAATCTCCCATTGTAATTTATTTACCAGCAAGCTTCACAATTCTGCTTCTAGTTCAATTCCAAGGGTCTGGGTGTTGGGAGCAAAGCCGAAATTATGACATTTTGAGTATAACAGGATACCTTTTAAACTGGTTGTGTTGACAAGTCACTTAGGGATTGGAATGAGACCAAAGACAGGAGGCTTGGCAGATGACAGATGATCAGAAGATGCTGTTTCTACGTTTTACCCAGACCTACTGGGGAGAAAAGCCAACGATCTTTTGGCCTGGACTCTTCTCAGCTCCATTATGGTAGTCTAAAACACCAACCTACTGGCCAGCAGTATGCATTTCCTCTCAAATGGCACTTCACTGGGTACTTTTAGCTATGAATATTCACAAAGAACCTTCAATATCATTGTCTGTAGAAGAAAACTAACAGGAATAAAGAAAAACATCTGGATAACATATAAATAAAAGCACCCTGAAGACCCTGTGACCATTTAAAAATATTACACGCAGAATTCTGAATGAAAAACTGCAGTTTGTTTGCCATTTGCTTTGTGAAATGGACATCTAAGACGTTTCCCAATAAACATTTGAAAAGAAACAGAAGACCCAAAAGACAAACTTAGGTCTTTCATTTAGGACTAGGCTAAATGGAAGAGGTCTTGGTTTATACGAGAGAAAATTTAATATGGAGCTATTAGGAAAGCTCCCCACCGAGGTAAATCCATTCATCCTTAGTAGCCTGTCTAGTGCTTTCAAAGGTCTCTACCCACAAAGAGTCATCACTGAGGTTAATAGGATAATGCACAGAATTCATCAGGAAGTGAACTCTGTTTTGCTACCTCGTGATCCTCAAGGGAGTACTTCAACCACACTTTGTCCAAAACTGTTATTCAATGAGTCATGTTTGCACTCAGTTACTCGGAAGCCAGATGAGTAGTATACGTTATAAATTATTTCTGTTCAAAGTTCTTGTATCATATGAGGATAAGTGCTCTATGTTATGACACAATCACCCCTTCTTGTGCTTTAGAGAGACTGTATCTTTCCAAAATACATAATAATTTTATATCTGAGAGCCAAGAGTTTTCTTTTTGAGACAGGGTCTTGCTCTGTCACCCAGGCAGGTGCGGTGGCACAATCTCAGCTCACTGCAACCTCTGACCCCTGGGCTCAAGTGGTCCTCCCACCTCAGGCTCCCAAGTAGCTGGGACTACTGGCATGTGCCACCGTGCCAAGATAATTTTCTGTATTTTTAGTAGAGATGGGGTCTCACCATCTTGCTCAGGCTGGTCTCAAACTCCTGAGCTCAAGTGATCCATCCACCTTAGCCTCCCAAAGTGTTAGGACTACAGGTGTGAGCCACTATGCTTGGCCTAAGAGCCAAGAGTTCTTTAACTTAACAAAAAATGATGATTTATAAGAATTATTTTTTGGAGATGGGGGATAAACATAGTATTTTTTAATTATTTGATTTAATTTGACATTTGGAAGAGAAAAATTTCAGGTCATTGATTATTAATTCTTGTGATATTATAGCTCATCAGATTTTTAGCTATCTCAAGGGATATGTACAAATTCTCCAAAATATCACAAAACAAAATGAACTCTAATGGCTTCAAAAACAACAATTATAGAGCCCCTGTAGAATGCCAGGGACTACTTTGCATATTTTTACTCATATATTTAAGCCTCTAAATATCTTTAGGAGATAAAAACTGCCATTATTCCAGTTTTAGAAAGGAAGACACTGAGACAGAGAATGAGGATGAGGGAATTTGGTCAACATCACACAGTTGAAAATAGAAGATCTGGAGTTTGAATCCATGAGCCAGACCTGAGAGCATGTGCTTTATTGCTTTCAGTGAATTCGTTGACTAGCGAAGTATCTTCTATATGTACAATTCTGGGCTAGTGCTGGACATGAGGAGGACATCTGGCTGGTTGTGTGCAGCACTGAATGTCCTCAGGCTGGTGCTTCATTGTCATGTGGTCCCTGACACAGTTGCCAGAATGCATGACCTCCATGGATCACCACACTACTTTGATCTCCTTGTTTTTTTTTTTTTTTTTTAATGTAGCAGCTTTATTGAGATATAGTTAACATAACATATAATTCACTCATGTAAAGTGTACAATTTAATGGCTTTGAATATATTCACAGAGTTGTACAACCATCATCATCGTCAGTTTTAGAAGATTTTCATTATTCCGAAAAAAAGAACCTCATACCCATTCGTAGTCACTCCTTGTAAGCCCCTCTCCCAATTACTGACAAGCACTGGTCTGCTTTATGTCTCCATAGATTTTTTTATTATGAACATTTCATATAAATAGAATCATACAATATGTGAACTTTTCTGTCTGGCTTCTTTCATTTAGCATGATGTTTTCAAGCTTCATCCATGTTATAGTACGTATTAGGACTTCATTTCTGTTTATTGTCAAATAACATTCTATTGTCTGAATTTGCCACATTTTATGTATTTATTCATTACTCAATGGACATTTTTCTACTCTTTGGCTATTATAAATAATGATACTATGAACATTTGTGTGCAAGTTTTTTGTGTAGATGTGTTTTAATTTCTCACAGGTATACACTTAGGAGTGAAATTGCTGTGTCATAGGGTAAGTCTACATTAAACATTTTAAGAAATTGCCAGCCTGTTTTCCTCCTTGCTTATTGATAGTAAGAAGTCCTTCTTAGCAGTTTTTGCAAAAGTGACTTTTTTCCTCTATAGAAGCACCCTTGACATTAGAAGGCAAGGATGCCAGACCTTGTCTTCAACAAATATTCAACATCTGGTGGACTATAAGTGGCCACTTCCAGTAACAGAAACCAAATGGAAAATGTAGAATAATCTTGAGTAACTACCCCAACGCTTCTTAATATTAGGTCTTTTAAGTGACTGTATGAAACAAATTTAATAAATGATGGTAACAATAGTAGCATCTGTTAAACACTGTAGATGTATCAGGAGGTCTATGAAGTATTACAAGTATTTTATCATTCAATTTTAGAACCACTAAAATATTTTAGAATCTTTATATTCTAGAGACTAAGACTAAAGCAAAATTATAAGAATGACAGAGCCATAGTTTTATCTATACTGATCACTAGGTAGTGGAAAAAGGTTTAGCTTGAAGTAAGAAAAACTAAAACAAAAAGATGAACTTCCCTGAATGGAAGACTATTCAAAAGACACTCACTTAGCTGGGTCACTGAGGCTGTTTTCAGGAAGCAGGAAGTAGAATGAGTTACTGTTATCTTTTTCTGGGTCTGTGTACTTATGATGCTATCTTATGGTTTAATTTTTCTGTAGGTACACAGGATGTGTGGGTGGCCAAATAAAGTATTACAGAAGCAAGTAAATATTAACAGAAAAAAGAAAAGAGGAACTGTTCTATTAAAACATTTTATTAGCTTTTGTTAAAAAATTTTCCAGTTGCAGAGTGCCCGTCTCTTGCCTACTATGAAAATTTATTTGAATAGGTTTATCCACCTAAGCCTACATCAGAGACCAGTGAGTAGACACAAAGTTAAACACACAAGAAACAACTCTTATGCAGTATTTTGTTGTGATGTCTTTTAAGTAAAAATTGGGAAATTTATATTTATTATAACAAATGATGGCCAAATGATGGCCACAAAAGCCATTGCTTGCAAATAATTATAATTCATACGGTAATGACATTTCCTGTGAAAAGAATTAAAATATATGTCGTGGGATCCACCACTAGTCTTCCTTCTGGAAATAAAAATCAAACTGATCAATTTGCTTCAGTATATTAGGTAAGAAAAAAATAATGGTGTCTAACTGCAGAGGGCGTTGTGTTGATTCGGATTTTGTATAGAGGTGTCCATATAGGAACTTTCTAATGTGGATTCTGATTATACAACTATGAAAAAATTTGGAAGTATTATTTTTCTCAATGAATTCTAATTTGATTTGAAGGCCATGGGAAGAATCCCTGTCCTATATTCTGCTTTAGTCCTTAAGATCCAGTTAGAAGCTGCTTGCAGTCGTCCTCATTGCTTGGGAAGACTAGGCTTTTCTATTTAGCAACCAATCCAGGAACTAGATTTCACCACACTAACCACATCTTCCTTCTCTGTGTCATACTTGTATGTTTTTGGTCCTGAAAAGAAGTAAATGTAGCCTAAAAGAGACAAAGTTGAAATTGTGGTTACTGAAGATGACCAGCACATATATAAATGGAAGGATTTGTCATTGTCACTTTCTTAAGGTGTCACCAAAGAGGAATTGTGAATTTGTCAGGTGGCAGTTAGCTTGTCTTCTGTCTTCATGCCCTAGAACCCGACTCCTAAACTTCTCAGTCATTTCTGAGTTTTCTCCTTGTTCCAGCTCGGGTAAGGCCTTCTCGTTGGGGTCATCCAATGTGTCATGCTCAGTTATGTGCTGTGCTTCTGCTCAGGCTGTTCTCCAGGAAGCCCCTTCCCTTCTCTTTGCCTAGTTAAGCCTCTGGCCAATCTTCAAAACCCATCTGAAGTCTCACTATAAAATTTCCAATGATTGCTGCCGATTCTGATCTTTTAATTCTCAGATCGGCTCTTGCAATTATTGTGAGGTCTACCACATGACTCAATACTAAATTATAGATGGTCTGTTTTCCAGTCATTTCATCTGTGTTGGGTGAACCATTCTGTGAGAGCAGAGGCCACGTCTGGAATGGTCTTTGCACTTCTGAACAGTGTCCAGCCCTGTGTTACTTTTTTCAGGAAGAGTGTACTGACTGATTCAGAAGATTCAATTAAATTTATTCGACAAAGTTCTATTGAACTTTCCTAGCTATGTGTTAAATTGCAGGAATTGGATGATGGAATGGGAAAAAGCACTGAGAAGCTTGAGAATATTTTTTTTTTTTTTGAGACAGGGTATCACTCTGTTGCCCAGGCTAGAGTTCAGTGATGCAATTACAGTTCACTGCAGCCTCGACCTCCTGAGCTCAAGTAATCCTCCCATCTCAGCATCCTGAGTAGCTGGGACTACAGGTGTGTGCCATTATTCCCAGCTAACTTTTTTGTAGAGACAGAGTTTCGCCATATTGCTCAGGCTGGTCTTGAATTTCTGGGCTGAAGCGATCCTACCACCTCACCCTCCCAAAGTGCTGGGATTACAGGTGTGAGCCACTGCCCCTGGCCAAGACTATGTGTACTTTAAAGATAGAAAAGGTAATCTTGACCCAGGCAGACTTTATGATCTAGCTGACTAATCGATTGAAGCTATACTTTAAAAACTTTCCGTTAGGTGGTCAACATGGTGAAACCCCATCTCTACAAAAAATACAAAAATTAGCTGGGCGTGGTGATACGCACCTGTAGTCCCAGCTACTTGGGAGGTTGAGGCAGAAGAATTGCTTGAACCTGAGAGGCAGAGGTTGCAGTGAGCAGAGATTGCACCACTGCACTCCAGCCTGGCCACAGAGCGAGACTCTGTCTCAACACACACACACACACACACACACACACACGAAAAAAAAACCAAAAAAACTTTCCGTTAGGAAAAAGAGAACTACAATAACCAGAACTTTTATAGTTACTCTTTCTAGTGGATAATCTGTTTAGATAAACTTATGAAAGGACCTAAGACCAAATATAAGAATCAATGACTCCCACTTGGAAATCCACTTTTTGTTGTGTTAAAGCAGAGCCCAGACTTCTTATGATAGTTTTCATGAAGAAAGTTTTCAGTGGAAACACTCACCATTTAATTCTACAGCAGCATCGATTTGGCCATTTACTCCTGAAAATTCTTCTTCAGTATTCTTTGGATAGTCTTTTTCCATTTTCCTTTTCCGTTCATCGTAGCTAGAAAAAGTATTATTTCATAAATAATATTACTAAGAGGTTTTTACTGGTTGTAAATGACACTATATTGATCAGGCATATGCACACTTATAACTTATTTAGGTTTCTCTCTCTGTCATATACGCATACACATGCACTTATGTTGTTGTTTATTTATTTTTTCTTTGTTGTGTTTTTGTTTCTTTTGAGATGCGGTCTCACTCTGTTGCCCAGACTGAAGTGCAGTGGTGCCATCATGGCTCACCACTGCCTTGACCTTCCAAGCTCAAGTGATCCTCCTGTCTCAGCCTCCTGAGTAACTGGGAATACAGGCATGTACCACCACACCCTGGATAATTTTTGTTTTTTATAGAGACAAGGTCTTGCCATGTTGCCCAGGCTGGTCTCAAACTCCTGGTCTCAAGCAATCCTCCCACGTCAACCTCCCAAAGTGCTAGGATTACAGGAATAAACCACTGGTCCTGGCACTTGTTGTTGTTTAAATTGGGCTCTTAAAATACCTAAAAGAGATTATAGACCTTTATCACTATGCTCACATGTCCCTGAGATTCTGGAAGTCACTTGCTTAAAGCAGTCTCCAAAAAATTTCCACATACATTGTTTAGAATTATTCATTCTACATATTATAGCAACATGTTCTGTTAAATCAAAAAAACCTTGCCATTTGAAAGGAACTCTCTATATTTTTTATTGCCTTATTTATTGTTGTAATTAGTTCTCTCTCTCAATTCCTTGGTTCATCAAACAATTGAAAGCCTTTCATAGGGGCTTTTATTCATGAACTTATGCTATGTATCCATGCAGAAAGGGTTGAACAAATAATGCACATTGAACAAATAAACAAATGTGTGAACAATAAGTAAATAAGAACCAAGTAAATATGTAATAATTGAACTTCTGCCTTTTAAACCAATTTACTTGAATTTCGTTGCTTTTGTTTCCTGGAAAGCTTATATGACTGACTGAATAGTAGACCTGATTTCTTTTTCTGGATCAGCAACCAGCATTCAATGATAACTCTGAAGATTGATTAACACATCTCTTTGTGATCTAAATTACTCATTGTTAAAAAAGACTGTGACCGTGTGAGTCAGCATGACTTGTATGAGAATCAGACTTCATTTAAAGTTTGAGAAAGTCCCTTCTTCATTAGCACAGAGTTCCAAATGGGGACACTCCCAGGTGGACACCCCACTCCTTTCCCACCAAAAGGTCAGACAATTTCTCCCAGTGCCTGGGCTACTGAGAAATTTCCTGTGGCAGCAGATCCCACCCACCGTCTCTTGAAATGTGCCTTTTGTGTGGCTATGACTACACAGGACAGGGACAACTCTCTAGTGATGTTGAGCCGGAGGCAAACATTGAAAAAGACATACTCAGGCTGAAACTAAATGCAAGTCTGAGCTGCTCTACAGAATGTCTGGAGCTAGGGGTGGAAGCTAACTGTCCCAGCATATTATCCATATTAACTATAACAATTAATGTTTCATGTGGACCTTATGTGTAGACATTATGCAGTGGCCTGCATAACAAACACAAGGTTACCTACTTTTCATTTCACTAAGTGAGAACATTACCATTTAACCTTGATTACCTTGATTACCACCTGTTTTCATAATCATTTCACAAAGAAAAAGAAACGTTAACACCAAAAAGGCAGAAAGGACATAAACTCAGAATAAAAGATGGTTTTCACCAATAATCTGTTTTTATGCTGACATAGACTGCAGCTCCCTGATTTATAATATTGTGCTGTTCTTATTTAGCTGTGAACTGGTGAGAACTTTGTGATGATCTAGCCCTTTGTTTCTGGACAGATATTTAAGGATTCCTATTATAGTCCAAAGAGCTCAACATGTACAGTCTGATGGTACTGGGTTTGAATTTCTGACTCTGTTACCTGCTGACTCCGTGATCAGGAGAACGTACTTTGAGCTCTGAACCCTGGTTTTTCTCATCTGGAAAACAGTGGTCATGAGGGTAAGAAACAATTTACACACACACACATGCACAGACACCACACACATACACACACACGTGGCACATGTAGCACCAAGAGCAGGCCCAAGCCAGCCGACTTTATCGTTTATTTTGGCCCCAAGAACAATTAACTCTGATTTGTCAGTATAAGATTGAGTGAATTTAGTGGTTTGATCTGGGATCCTAAGTCATTAAGGAGTTTAATCTTTAAACTTACTTTACAAGGTAATATTTGCGGTGGTAGGCAAAGTTGAGAAGGGGTGAAAAAGGAGGGCTAAAAAATGTGGGAGGCAGTCTGGAGAAGCAAGTCAGAGAGGGGATTAAGATGAAGTAGGTCTGCTGGTGTGGTGAGGATTTTGCTGAGAGAGTAACAGAAAAGGAGATTATATGATAGGATGAAGATCATGGGCATTTTGACTAACAACAAATAAATGATGAAGAGAATTGAAGAATGAACATATGTGGTGGTTGGGAAGGCCCACTGAATTTGGATTCAGAGGACACGAAATACATCTTCAGATGGACCACTGTAGCTGTGTGATCTTGAGTGAATCAGGTAACCTCTCGGAGACACAATGTTCAATGAAAATAAAAGAAATACCTACTTCTCAAGATTGTTGCAAAGGTAGATGGGACAATGAGAGAATATGAGAAAATGCTCAGCATGATTCCTGGCACATAGTGAGCCAGTTGTTAAGAAATAGTAACTGAATTTCAATATTAAGGAAATAAATACAATTTTTATTGAGAATCAACTATATCTTGAGTATCTGCTAAAATCATTGCATATATCCTCTCATCACTGAGGTCCTATTTGTGAAACCTAAATACCAAACTAGAAATAGTGATCTGAATTATGTTTATTTCCTTTGTGGGCATTTGTTACATCATTTAATATTGATTCAAGGTATTTACATTTAATATATATTAAATAAATCATTGCCTATACAACAGATATGTGATGTGGTTTTTCAAATGTGTTATCTTACTCTCCACATTTGTATTCTAAGGACTCAGAGTCTGTTTTGATAAAGTGCCTGCATTTTTGTTTAACCTCATCTGTATGCTTAGAACTTAGATTTGTTAGGTATTTTTGGTGTTTTGATTGTGCTGATTTCAGTCATATGTCAAGGGCATAACTGACTCCATTCTACCCTCTTAGAAGCACTAAATGGGGATCTGAGTTTGCTAAAGGATGCTTAAACAGAATGCAAGAAAGGGCGGCAAAAAGGGGAATTTACTGATAAGGTTTCTGAAATGGTTTCAGGGAGTTTTCTCAAGGTGACCTTTCCAGTGTGGGTCAGGAGGGACAGTGAAATAGAAATCTGAAATTCCATTTTGAAGTTAATGATTTCAGCCAGACATCACATGACTTTCATGAATGAAGTGGTCTTTGTGATCTATACTAGAGACGGGCAGGTAGGAGAGTGATCGGGAACAAAGAGAAGGCAGGAGAGGAGGAAGCTGCCATGTACAATCCCAGATGAGAGTCAGGAAACAAGACCCCATGAGGAAAATGATTGTGAGGAGATTCTGGGACAAATAATTTGTAACAACATAGAAAAATATGTATCCTACAATATTAAGTAGAAGAATGTTAGGACACAAAATTGCATACATAATTACTTAAAAATGGGGAAAACTGCCAGGAAAAAAAATAGAAGAAAAACATTAAATGAGGATCAAAAGATGTTGCAGGTGTTGGCCATTGAAGAATTTCTTTCCCTTTCATATATTCTGTGTTTTCTGTAACAAACATCACGTGCTGCCCTTGGACTCCATCTTCCTGGGCAGGCTTATATCCTCACATGGCCTTAATCACCACCTGATTACATGATGAATTCCAAGCTTATCTTTCCAGCCTGAGTGCTCTTGAGTTCAAGACCTGTATGTCCAAATCTCTTTTTGATATTTTTCTTCTCAGTTCTCACCAGCACGTCAAACTCCATGTGTGCAAAATGAAACTGCTTCTTGTTCCCCTAAATCTGCTTCATTTCTTAAGTTTACTGTCTTGATAAATGCCAAAATTGAAAACCCATTTGTTAAGGAAATTACCCCCAACTAGTCAGTCACCCAGACCTATGTTTTCTACCATTTGAAGAACAATCAAATCTACCCCAACTCCCAAACTTATCATCTTTGGCAGAATTCTTGCAATAGTTCTCGCTCTTATTTAAACAATTCAGTGGTTTTTTAGTGCACAGTCATTTGCCATATATTGACATTTCAGGAAATGACAGACCATGTACATGATAGTGGTCCCATAAGATTGTAACACGTATTTTTACTATACCATTTCTATGTTTAGATACACAAATACTTACCATTGTATTGCAATTGCCTACAGTATTCAGTACAGTATCATGCTGTATAGGTCTGTAGGAGCTATAGGAGAAATAGGGTATACCATATGGCCTAAGTGGGTAGTAAGCAATACCATCTAGGTTTGTGTAAGTACACTCTATGATGTTTGCTGATTGACCAAATCACCTAATGACACATTCCTCAGATCACAGCCCCACTGTTAAGCAAGTGATGTATGACTATAGTCACAGAATTGTGCTACCATCAACACAATCAATTTTAGAATGTTGCCATCACCTGCCCCCACAAAAACCTTATACCTTTTCACTGTAAGTCCCCATATCCCACAAAAACCTTGTACCTTTTCACTGTAAGTCCCCATATCCCACACCCCCATCCCTCCATCTCAACCACACCTAGACAATCACTATCTACTTTCTGTCTGTTTAAACTTGCCTATTATGGACATTTTATATAATATGCAGATTTTCATGACTGACATCTTTCATTTAGTATAATGCTCTCAAGATTCATCCAGGTTGTACCGTGTACCAGCACTTCATTCATTTTTGTGGGCAAATAATATTCCATTGTATGAATTTATCACATTTTATATATCCATTCAACACTTGATGGAGATTTGGGTTGTTTCCAGCATTTGTCTATTATGAAAAATGCTGCTATGAACGTTTGTATACAGCTATTATGTGGACTTA